CCGGCGAGACGGGATGGGAGGACACGATCGAGCAGTCCCTGCCATCCCCCAACCACCATCACCCCCGCCACTCCCCCTCCCCTCCCAGGTGCGCTGAAATCCTACCTGCGAGAGCTGCCTCAGCCTTTGATGACCTTCGAGCTCTACAACGAATGGGTCAAAGTGGCCAGGTGGGTCTGGGTGTTGGGGCGGAAAAGCCTGGTGGGGCTCAAAAAGCTCTCCTGCCACCCTCCCTCCGTCCCTTCCAGCAATCAGAGCAGGGCTGCTCGGCCTCGTTTGCCATGTGGAGAGATAAGAACGCAGCACCTGGTTTGTCCCATGCTCGGCAGAAATCCAGATGGCCCAAAATCTCAGAGAATAGCAATAAAAAACACAGCAGGGTGAGGGGGAAGGCTGCAGCCTTTTTGATTGCAAGAAGAGCTTGGCCTATGAAGACCTGCTTGGTCTCAATGTCGTGAGCCCCATCTCACTGGCCCACCAGCCCAGTCTGGCCTCTTGCTTTCGGGATGGAAGGGGTGGCGGAGGAGGCACAGCAAAGAGCCTGGGGTAAAGGGGAGAGCACCTTTCTAAAGGGATCGGCTCAGTGCCATTGACCCCCGCAGTCATGGTGAAATAGGGTTGTTGCTTATGGCAAGGCAGTGCTCGCCCCCAGGCCCACCCATAAGCTATATTCATATCATATTACATCCCTTTGAACCTTTGGGGTGCAGTTTTATCGATGGCTGGCTCAGCTGCGCAGTAAAGGCAGCAGCAGGGCATTTCCATCCCCGCACGGGGCGGCTGACACTGGCCTTCCGCCCTTGCACGCCATGTCCCTCCCTGCCACAGGGAGCCGGCTGAGCTCTCCGCTCCTCCCTCTTCTCTCTCTCGCAGCTTAAAGGACGTTGACAGCCGTGTGCAGAGCCTGCAAGACACCTGCAGCCGCCTGCCCCGGGAGAGCTACAACAATCTGAGGTGTTTTGCAGGGAAGGGGCTTCTTCGGCCCCAAGCAATCACCAGGGGCAGCCGTTCCCTCCCTGAATCCGTACTTACTGCCCCCTCGCCCTCCTTTTACCCCACAGGTATCTGATCAAGTTTTTAGCCAAGCTGGCTGAACACCAGGAGTTGAATAAAATGACCCCCAGCAACATTGCCATCGTGCTGGGCCCCAACCTGCTGTGGACGCAGCAGAGCACAGGGTAAGGCCTGGCTTGGAGGCGTGGGAAGCAGCTCAGGGTGCCCTGAGCGCTAACGCCATGGGGAAGGCTGATCCTGCAGCCTTCAGGCTGGTCTAAAGCGCCTGCGCCTCTTCCATCCTCAAGCCCCGTTCCTTGTTCACGCGCTCCCTGAGTGGGACGTCCCCTCGCCAAGCGCATGTCCGCTTAGCCACTCTGCAATGTGGCAGAGGAAGAGGCTGAGACCCGGAGCACTTGTGACACAGATGACCTCCAACACCACTGGCCTCCAACACCAAACTAGGGTTTCCAGGACAGGGAATAAGGTCCACCTCCCATCCCAGCACCCTGCCTCGGCTGGGCTGTCTCCCCTTTGGGCTCTACCCCCTCAGGAATGAACACCAAAAGGGTTAATGCCCCCCAAACCCTTTTCTGATGCCTCCCCCACCCCTGTCTCTCAGAGACCCTGTGCAACTGGACTTGGCCTCGGTCTCCTCCATCCAGGTGGTGGGTGTGGTGGAAGCCCTCATCCAGAATGCGGACACCCTCTTCCCTGGAGGTAGGGCGAGGGCCTCACTCCGGGGGCAGAGTGAAGGGAGGGGAGGAAGGAAAAGGGACATTTCTCCATCCCAGGAGGAGGGAAGTGAGGGGCTGCTCCAGTTCCCCACCGTGGGGTCACTGGGGGAAGCTCTGCACAGCAAGTGCTTCCTTGCGGGGTCTCCTCCTTGCTCTCCACCCAGAGGTAGATTTCAATGTCTCGGGCATGTTCATGCCGCCTGCAAACAGTGGACTTGGCGAGGCTGCCCCAGTGGAAGAGCCATCCCCTGAGCCCCCTCCGGCCGGCATCCCTGCTCTCCTGGATGGAGAGGCGTAAGTTCAGCGGGAGCTGGGGGCTCTGGCTGTCCCAGCTCTCCCCGTGTCCTCCCCTCATCTCACCCCACACCATGGGCCATATCCTTGCTAGATGGATGCAAGGTGCCTTGCGGCCAGGACCACCATGCCCAACCAAAGCTTGACTTGCCCCATTCTCTGTGCAGCACCTCGAAGGACCCCGAGGCCAGGTCCCAGCCAGCATCCCCAGCGGTGACCAGACCGTCTCCTGAAGCTGCAGGGCCACCGGCTCCACAGATGACCGACGACACCACCCGCAAAGGTTAGGGTGCCCCAGACGGCACAGTGCTTGGGAGATGACAGCCCCCAATGCCACTTCCTCTGGTTTGCCTTCCTCCCGCCATTCCCCACAAGAAAGGGTGCTGGGGACATCCCTGCCACCAAATGAGAGGAAGGGCCTCTGGCTGGGGCAGCATAGCTGGGATCTGGCCCTGCATTTTGTGCTCCATCCCCAGCTGAGGTGGGACCGCGGGGTGGATGTGGACGGTCCTCCAGTGTGGGGATGAACACCCTCCCCCGTGAAGAGGTGTCAAAGCTCATGGTCCCTTGTGAAGGGAAGAGGGTGGGAAAAGTCCCCAAAGGCTGTCCTGCGCTTGGGTCTCCAGTATGGGAGCCGGGCAAGGGGCAGCTTGTCCGTCAATCTGCCTGCAGCCCCCTGCCTGACCCACGGCTGGCACCACAACCCCCTCTGCCCTGGGGAGAGACCCCGGCAGAGGGGACCCCAGCCCACCCCAGCTTTCTTTCCAGGCAAGC